CTATCATTTTCTGCTTATAGACATGGGGGAATTTCTCTTGAAGGCTCTTATAGTGGGCATGAACTATCTTGCTTGCTCGATTGCTGGTTGTATTAAACGGGACAACAAAGGGTGCTATGCCTACATTATGATGAATATTTAGTCCTATAGGTCTTGCTGTATTCAATGTCTCAATCCAATGGGCTTCCCTAGATTGACGGAATTTGGTAGTTTCATCTTCGGGCAAGTCAATTTCTATACGCTCAATTGGGATTAGGGCGAGATCGTCTATTGAGTGGTCGTCGAGGTTGAAATGATTAGAAACAGGCTTGTCTTTCTTTAATTTGATGTCTGACCTATGAGCATTAAAGCGAGTTCGTAAATTATTCTTAGTTTCTCCTACATATTGTTTGGGGCATTTCTTGCATGAAATTAAATATATTACATTCGAATGTTCACATGTTAGATGTTCCTGGATCGGGTACCTTTTATTCGTAGAGTTGCTTACAAAATAATGAGTTTCTGATATAAAGGGACATGTTTTGCATCTACTGGACAATCATGGAGCACTTCTTAAACCTGGAGGTACTTCGGCATAAAGTCTGTTTTTAGCTGCTATCTGTGCTAAGGTGGAATTTTTTATGTTTCGTAAAAATCGTTTAGAGTACCCACGCTCTTTCAGTTTTGAGAAAACAATCGTACAGGCTTGGTTGAAATCAGAAGATCTTGTACAAATTCGATGAAATCGTAAAACTTGTGACTTAATTATACCAGAAAAGGTATGTTTTGGTTGAAAGGAGCTCTTGTGCAAGAGTTGATGACTATCAGTTTCTTTGAAATACACTTTAATATCCAGTTTAGTTGTTTCTGCTATGGAATCTCCCTTAAAGACTGTGGTATCGAGAAAGTCTACGCTTTTGTCACTCACGTTTGTGGTTAGTTTGATAGAAGGATGGTGGTTGTTGAGAATTTCAAAGAATTCCCAAAACTGTTCGATAGAATAAGTCCAAACCATAAAAATGTCATCCAAAAAGCGTCCGTAAAAAAGTGGGTCGAATGGACAGAGGGGCAACACCTCACGTTCCCACTCTGCCATGAAAAGGTTTGCGTACGAGGGGGCGAATCGTTTGCCCATTGCTGTCCCTGAAGTTTGTAAATATGTTTTACCATTAAATGTGAAATCGTTTCTACTAAGACAAATCTCTAAAAGCTGTAGAATTGCATCGTCGGGTCTGTTTGGATCTGGGTTTCTATAAAAGCTTTACGAACTGCCGCTAGACCAGTAGTGTTATCGATATTGGTATACATAGAAGAAATGTCGATAGAAATTAAAATAGCATTAGAGGGAACTCAAAGATTTTTTATTTTATTGACAAAATCGGTTGTGTCTTTAAGGTAGGCGCGATGTTGACATGCCAGAGGTAGTAAGAAATGATCAATGTATTCTGACACTGCATATGACTCACTACCACAGTCAGATATAATAGGGCGGCCTTTAGGGATTTTATTCGAGATATACCACTCCTTGGTTGGATTCTTATGCATTTTAGGCAAAATGTACAAATGTCTCTCGCGACAATCAGGTATGGCAGACAGATAGTCATATTGTTTCTGATTGAGATAACTAGTTTTGACTAAATCGGCAAGAATATTGTTAATCATGTTAGCAGTTTCTTTGAAAATTGGTTTCGGTAAAATGGCATAATGTTTAGGATTATTCAGTTGATTCTCTGCTTCTGAAACGTAATCCTCCCTATTCAGAATGACACAACATGAACCTTTGTCACTCCTTTTAATAACAATGCTATCGTCTTTCTTAAGTAAGTTTAACGCTTCACGTTCCACTCGTGTGACATTAGGCTTTTCGTGTGTTATGGAAAGATTCACTGTTTGGCTATTGATACTCGCAAATGCTTTCAATATTTCAGGATGGATGGCGGCCTGAGGGGCTGTCCATGTGGATTTAGGAATAAACATTGTTCTAGCACTACGTGGGTGTTGTTTCGAAAAAAATATGTGCAGCTAAGATTTCGTTGAAATCGTTCAATGGATGGTCGGAGATAATTCAAGTTCGATTCAGGTTAGATGATCCAATTATTAAGGTAGATTTCTTTAGGGCAGGTAGCTTCCATAATGATTTGTCTTTGGTTTGGTGATAATACGGTTTGGTAGCGGATATAATGGTCGTCGACGGTGTGATTGGTACTGGTTTGGTAGTTTTCTAGCATTGGGAACGGACTGGGATCTGGTTCGAGGTGGGAAGGTATGGATACACGTCTTGACTTGGATGGAGACTGAGGGGTGGTTTGCTGGTCCAAAAACGCATAGAAGGAAGAAAGGATGGCAGATCCTGGATCACGTGGTGAAGATTCAGATGGTGTGGAAGGGGAAGACGAGTCTGAAAGTGAAAAGAGAAGGCGAGTGCCCTCTCTACGAGAGAAACGATGCGGTCGACGGCAGGTGATGATAAAGACTTGGTACGAATGGTGGTCAGCTTCTCTTGAAGTGTGGTTTGGTAATGGTCGATCAGGACCTGCGTAACCTTAGAGAGCCATGTCCGATTGCGGGAACTAATATTCGCGACAACAGCTGATGTTTTCATTGCTGGACGGATAAAACTATGCAACTCAGAGACTTTGCTGGTTGGCGTCGGTGGGCTGGTAGTCGTTTCTGTTGTTGGTCAGGTCGATGGTTACCTCTTGATCGGTGGCTGTGTTGTAGGTAGGTCGGCGATGGAGT